AGGCCTCCCTTGGGGAGTCAGAGAAGTCGGGTGTGTAGGAGTGCTCGTTTACTTGTATATGTGTTTGTCATGTGCATGCCTGGTCCTTACGGAGGGTAGAAGAGGACCTCGGATCCTGTGGAAATGGAGTTAACGGCAGGTATGAGCTGCCATGTGAACGCTGGGAATCTAACCCAGGTCCTCGGAAGAGCAGTCGGTGCTCTTAACTGCTGAACCATCGTTGTGGCCACACGCTTATTTTAAAGTTTTATAGCCATAGATTTGTTTAATTCTAATAGCAGCCCCGTTTCACAGACACTGTTTGTCACGTCTGCTTTACAAGAGGAAGCAAGGCAACTAGACCAATGTCACAGCCCCCAAAATCTGCAGAACTGGACTTAAAAGTAAACAACAAACAACAAACAAACAAAAACACAGGAGTTCAGAATACCACAGACTGAGCTGAGTAACCCCCCACACACATAAGCTTAGACACCCTAAGCTGGTGTCTATGACCTAACTTGCAGTACCTCAGAGCATGACTGCATTTGGGGACAGGTCTACGAAGAGAAAAGATAAAATGAGGTACAGGCTGGGATCTGGCTGATGTCTTTATAAGCAGAGGATGTTACACAATACAGAAGAAAAACCACACGAAGATGTGGAGAACCCAGGTATCTGCAAGTTGAGAACCAAACCTGTTGGCCCTGCTCTTCTGGACTTTAAAAGAGACGGGCCTCAAACACAACCAACACTATTGGATCTTTGATCTCAGACTTTGAGCCTCCATGACCATAAAGCAGTAAATTTCTGTTGTTTAAGGCCTCTAACCTGTGGTGCTTCCTTACGACAAACCCAGCGGAACACCTCCTAGCTTCACACACAGCCAGTTCTTATCAATGCCTCTGGTCAGCTCACACATTTATGGATGTCTAGCTTGCTCAGTTATTATTATTTGGCAAAAAAGGAGAAAATATTTAATTTCCACACTCCGGAATCATGGTGGGGGTAAAAAGCTCACATGATTGCTTTTAGAATTTGGGTTTTCTGTTTTTCTATTGTTTCTATTTTTCTGTTTGTGCCCCTTCTAATTTCTTTGAGAGTTACCCCTCGCGTCAGGCTGCCTCAGGTGCTTTCCTGGGTCAGCTCACCCTCACGGGGAACCCTCATTCAGGTGTTCACTGGTGTTGGGGTTACAGAGCTTCCCTCCCCTTTAATTGCCTCATCCTATATTTAAGGTTTCAAAGACTCTCAAATATCTTTCTCAGTTTCATGTTGGGATTTCTGGTTATCAGGAATAGCTATGAGTTAGACCCCATATGTGGCTCCAATGCCTGCTTCTATTTCCTGTAGGCAATTCCAATTTCTCTCCACAGCCTGGTGCATTTTTCAACTTTGGCACTGAAAGTCCTTTCCAAGTTTCCTGTTGCATCCACAGGGTTCAAATTCTCGTGTTCTCATATGCATTTGTTTCAAACAAACAAAAGGAGGGGTGGCTCGGTAAGCAAAAGTGAGGACCCAAGTTCAGACCCCAAAACCCATGCAAAGCTGGACGTGGGAACAGGGTCTGAATCCCAGCACTCGTGTGGTTGGGATGGGAGGCAGAGACATGGGAATCTCTGGGGGATCCAGGGCCATCAAGCCTGATGTATACAGTGGGGACCAGCAAGAGACCCGGTCTCAAACATCATAGAAGGTGAGGACTGACACTCCAGGTTGTCCTTAAACTTCCACACATGCTATGGCACATATATGCCCACACTCACTCATGAACATGCTCTCACACACAAACATCATGCATGTGTGCAGATTTGGAAGAAAGAGAGTGGGAAGAGGAAGGAAGAAAGGAAGGAAGGAAGGAAGAAAGGAAGGAAGGGAGGGAAGGAGGGAGGGGAAGGGAGGGAGGGAGGGAGTGAGGGAGGAGCATCTACTGTTCTTGTGGAGGACCTGAGTTCAGTTCTCAGCATACACATCAGGTGGCTCACAACCACCTATACCTACAGCTCCAGGGAGTCTAAGACCCTCTTCTGGTCTCCAACAGCATCCACGTGCATGTGACATACACAGAGAGGCACATAAATAAAATAAAGAAAGCAAGTAAAGCCCATAGAGATTATCCATATGAGTTTATCAGAATTAGTCATTCACTCGTGGCACTTGGAGGCTGACCTTAATTTTGAACAGAAATGTGTGTTTTTTACAGAAATACATGCCCATCATTCTGTGTATTCAGGAAAATGTATGTGACCTTGGGCAAGCTATTTAACCTCTGTATATCTGGCTTCCTCATCATAAGACAGTGGAGATAATTAGATAAATTAATTCACACACTTACAACTGTTTGCATATCCACAGGTGTACATTCTGTGCTAGGACCACATATGAGGGAGAAGAACAGTCTTTTTTTTTCTTTCTGAGTCTGGGTCACTTCACTGAGTATTATATTCTCTGATTCCATCCGCTTTTGTGACTACTCTTTCTCTGTCCCGCCAGCCAGCTCCCAAATAACAACACAGAGACTTATTGTTAATTATGAAAGCTTGGCCTTAGCTTAGGTTTGTTCCTAACTAATTCTTATAACTTAAATTAACCCATTTCTATTAATCTAGATTCTCTCACATTCTGCCAACCCTGCTTCATTCATGTTACCTGCCTTCTCTCTCACACACATGCCTAGATTCATCTCCAGTTTCCTCCCTCCCTGCCTGGAAGTCCTTCCTATACCTCCTGCCTAGCTATTGGCTGTTCAGCTCTTTAGTAAACCAATCACAGCAATATATCTCCACACAGTATACAAATATCCCACAATACACTTTCCAGCAAATTTCATTTATCTTCATATGCAAATAATATTCCATTTTGTGCATGTGCTATGCTTTCATTATCCACCTGTTGGCAGACGTCTAGGTCAGCCCCATTTTCTTGCTACAAAACAGCAACAAACATGGATATATAAACATCTCTGAAATAGGATATAGAGTTTTGGGGCATATGCCCGGAGTGGACTAGCTGGGTCAGAGTTATTATTTGTTTGTTTGTTTAATATGTGTGTAGATGGATTAGTGAATTAAAATGTATTTAATAGTGAAAATGTAAAGCCCTAAACAAGTTCATATATATATATATGATATATATAGAGAGAGTTTGGGACTGGGCAAGTGTTTGGGTGACTGCCTTAATCTAGCTGTGTGTGTAATATTTGATTTGTAAGTTAATTTAAATACAGATGCTTTATTTTTAAAAAGAAGGGATGAATGGATGAAAGATTACTTCCATCTGGCTTTCAGTGGCGAAACCAAAAGCTACATTTTGTGGCAGTCAGACGTCACACTCGGCAGGTAGCCGAGACTCAATGATGCCCACTTCCTGCGTCTGTGTCCTGCTGTGACATGCGGGCTGTACCTAATATCAGTTTTCTGACAAGCAGGACAAGGCAACGTGGTGGGGCACCACTTAATGTCATTTCCATGAGCACATCACACAAGTCTGCGAGTCTGAGGAAGAGCTTGGGATACAAACATGAGGGGTAGAGCTTAGCTTCCCAGGCCATGAGAGCGAGGTGGGCGCGGCTGTTCCCAGCACGCAGTAGGCAGAGACAGGTGATCCCCGGGGGAAGCTAAATGAAACAGGCTAGTTCCAGGTCCAGTGACAGCCCCTGCCTCAATAAAGTGGAGACACACATGCACACAGAAAGAGGGTGAGAGAGAGAGAGAGGAAGAGCGAGAGGGAGGGAGGGAGGGGAGGAGGAAGGGAGGGAGGGAGGAAAGGAGGAAGGGAGGGAGGGAGAGACACACAGAGAGAGGCTGTGACTGTCATCTCCTGGAATCTTCTGCACGCTCAATGAACAAGCTGCCATGGCAGAGAGGCAAACAAACAAAACAGAGCAGGCACCCAGGAAACTGGACCCTCTGTCTAGCAACCCCCAAGGAGGAACACAGGTCTGTCAACAACCCCATGAGGCCTGGAAGAGGAGCCTTTCCCGTACAGCCTTGAAAGGAGCCCTGGCCCTCAGCCACCTTGACTCCAGCCAGTGAGAAACCCTGAGCCGAGACTGTGGCCAAGTCCTGCCCAGATTCCTGACCCACAGAAGCCCAGATTGCAAGTGCGCTCTGCTTCTTGGCAGTACAGGTTGGGTTAATTTGTTACCAGTGGTAGGTCACGAAGACAATAGCTCATATGAAGCTTACATAAATACGGCCAGTGTGGCTAATAACATTGATGAATGGCGGCCATGGTTTAAGAGCCAAGGTTTTGGTTCCAGCTCATCTGGGTTGAAATCCTGAAGCAGCTTACTGGTCATGTGGCCTTGGGCAAGATGACCCATGTCTATCAGCATCTGTGTCTTTAAAATGGACCTAATTCTCAGCTCACAGCAAGAGCTCAGGGCTACACGGAGAGGTTAGACAATATGCCAAGCTCAGTGCCTGCCACGTGGTAAACACCAGGCAGAGGGAAGCCACCACTAATGATAATTCACTGTGATAGTCATAATTGATTAAGACCCCTCAAAGAGCAGCTGGTGTCCCCTGCCTGGAAGCTGTCAAGTTGAGCCCTGATGGCCATGGGAAGCAGTGATTAGAAGGGCTGGCTTAGTTGACCAAGTACTTGTCATATATACACGAAGACATGAGTTCAGATCCATAATCCCCATATAAAAACCCGGCCTTTTTTTTTTTTTTTTATTAAATGTGTGTTCCTTTAAACCCCACAACAGGGGGTTGAGACAGAAGAGTGCAGATGAGATTTGGGGGGTGGTCAGCTAGTGAGTTCCGGTTCAATAACATAAAGAGAAGGTGGAGAGCAATAGAGGAAGATGCCTGCGTTCACCGCTGGCTTCTACATACGTGTGTGTGTGTGTGTGTGTGTGTGTGTGTGTGTGTGCACCTGCGCACACATGTATGCATACTTACACAAAAGCGACTAGAACCCCAGAGGACCCTAAACCTTTTCCCAATCTCAGGCTCAGGGTGCGGATCAGTCAGTTGTGGGGACTTTCCCTTTTAGTCTGCTTTCAGTATTACCTTGCATCCTGGGGCATTCCGGTCATGTCCAGCCTTCACCTCAGTGACACCTCCACTCTTGTCCGGCTTCTGGGCAGCTATGTGGTTGCCACCCTGCCTGGGCTCAGGGCACCAAGCAAGGTAAACACCCAGACAGGAAGTGCCTGTCACAGGAATGGAGCCAGCTACAGTTGAGGCGGGTCTGAAGGTCAGGCATGCTTCTCAGGGAGGCTTTTCCGGGCAGTTCTCAGGGGCAGGTCAGGAGCATATGCATTTCGCTGGAGATATACAGGATTGCGCTGAGGTGCCTGTACAGGATGGTGGATGGGAAAAGAAGAAACCCAAGAGCTAACGAGGGAAAGCAACACCTGGAAACTTCTTCTGGCTTGCAGGTGAGCAAAATGTGTGAGTGCGTGTGTGTGTGTGTGTGTGTGTGTGTGTGTGTGTGTGTGTGTGTGTATTTTAACAAAACGAGACCAAGGAAGATGTAAACTGGAGGTTACTGCTGGGTCAGAAGTGGAGAGTGCTACAAGCATTGATTGAGAAAGAACCATGAGGGAGAAAGCAGTCAGTCAGTGGGAGAATCTGGCTACCCTGGCAAGGTTCCAGCTATGCCTGTGATGTCCTGGAGTCCCTATGAGGTCCCAGCTACACCTGTGAGATCCCGACCCATCCTGACTTTCTCACCCTCCCTTCCCAGTGTGTTTCAACATCCGTAAATCGGGGTGATGATTCCTTCCAGCTCCTCTACTTCTGGCCTTGGGGAGACAATACAGTGCATAGAAAAGGTCTTGATAAATAACTCACAGGGCCCTGGGTGCTAGGCACATGCAGGACTTTTTGTTAAAAATTGACCCAAAATCTCAGGGAGGCAGCAGCAGGTGAGGACCTTCCGGGAATAGGGTGCTTTCTATGGTGCACACCCTGGTCGTAAACGTATCTGTAGACTGTGAAGTGCTGTGATTTCTGTGCCCCAGGGGAAGAGCGGTCACAGCTATCAGGTCGACATCCCTGTGTTGCTGTCCCACTGACTCTGCTCCTGCTCAGAGACCATTTCAGACAAACGACCTCAGACTCTTACAGGTCTGTGTGTTTAGTGGGCATGAAGTCAAAGTATGGTGTGGTTCAGTTGGGGAAGGTTTTCTTGGATGTAACAATACAAGGTTTCCATTTCCTGTCAATATTCGGAATATTCAGACAGACGTCATCTGCAGGGAGCTGAACTTGCAATTCCTGTAGCTTTATCTGTTCTGCCGCCTCAGCTAGTGACGAACTGCCTTGAGAGAAACGGTTGTCTCAATGAGAGGACATTAAGGCTCTCTCTCTCTCTCTTTCTCTCTCTCTCTCTGACACACAGACACAGACACACACAGACACACAGACACACAGACACACAGACACACACACACACACACACCAACCATCTCTGGTTTCCCAATTAGGTGTCCCCTTACTCACGCTGGCTCACAATTGATGTTACTTAGCCTTGGAAAGTAGAAACCAGTGTCTCCTGGGAGACTTTGGCATCCTGGGCCACGAAGATGGGCCATAGACCACTTTCCTCAACCCTACTCCCAGCCCACTCAGATTTTCATGGATGTCGTCCCCAGGAGCATGTGGGGGTGGGGTGGGGGATGCACTCCATAGGAAAGCAGTGGATCTCAAACTTTACTTCGCCCACGGAGGCTCTGGCCTCAGCCTGCCAAGCTCACACCAGTGGACAAACCACCCAGCCAAGACTTGTGACTGTCCAAGGGTTCCAAATTAACCAGATCCACCGTGGTTTGATGATTCCACCAGACACAGGAGTCACTTTTTGTCCCAAGAAGGGAGTGAGCCTGCCAGCCCTACACAGACGTTCCTTCTCCTGGGACCTGTGTCCTTTCCTCTACTGCCCCCGCCCAGTAAGGAATTCAGTCTGACAGGGAGTGGTGGTGTGTGGGCACTGAGGAAGTTGAGACGAAAAGATAGATCAAGGCCAGCCTGGGCTATCTAGTGAGACCTTGATATATATGCACACATACACACACGCACACACACATGCACGCACACACGCACGCACACACACACACATGCACACACACGCACACATGCGCACACACACACACATGCACGCACACATGCACGCACATACACACTCACACACACGCACACACATATGCATACACATGCATGCACACACACATGCACACACACATGCACACACACATGCACGCACACTCACACACACACATGCACGCACGCACGCACGCACATCTGCTCCAGTACTCTGAAGTTACTCTCCAGCACAGCCTCGATTCCTTTATTCCCTTATCGAGGAATTGAACACCTGTACTTATGAGGCTTGGAGGTGGGGCAGGGGATACAGGTGAGATGACAGTGTCCATCAGGGTGGCAGAGCAAACCTGGGGTTCTGTGTCCCAACCCAAAAGTCAGCCGGAAGCTCCTCCTTACACAGAGCAAAGGATGTGACTTCACCCTAGGCACTGCCTCTGGATCACAGGGCTGAGCAGTTTGGGCCAAGCCAAATGTGGGTGTCTCTTTAGGGCCCTCACTTGTGGCCCTGGGAGGATGCTTCTGCGCAGAGCAGCCCCGCGCCTGGATGAATTCTTCTCTGTACTTGGCTTTGGTCACTTTATCCCCTTCCGAAGAGAAAGTGGACAGAAGCTCAACTTCCAGAGCACAGAAAATGCCCCAGGAGACACCCAGCCCAACCTGTTTCCTATGGGTGGCTACTGCAGTCCCTGTGGCCTTTCTGTCAGGGACACCACAGTGAGTTTGAATATTAATGACAAGCATTTCCCAGAATGTCCCGAAGTGAGCGTCTGCTGGGAAAATACCTGGTGGCTTGGCTGTATGCACTTGCAAATAAAGCGGTAACTTCCTGTGCTCACTCTTAGGACGAGGGCTTGAGGTGTTAATGAAGTAGACTAGGAAGCTCCTGGGTGAAGCAGAAGCCTGCCTAAAGGATGCTGTGTGAGTAGAATTGCTGAAGCAGGTTCAAGATGGAGGAGTGTTCCCATCCATGGACTCACAGACTCAGAGGCGGGGGCTCCATACATGGAAACAATGTGCCCCTCCCAGGAGATCCACCCTTCACGTGTGGACACAGCAGGCTGGCTCTGCCTTTGTTCCCTTCATCTTTGGTGGGAACGGCACCCATCAGTCATGTGGTCTTCTATGGACTGCAGCTTGGATAGGTTGTCATCTAGACTCTTAAAGAGCTTCCAAAGGATTTGCTGGCTCCTTATCTCAGGAGGGTGTCTCCTGACAGAGGCTCCAGAACCAGTCATCTGGACAGGGCCTAGAAAGGAACAAGAGGAGTTTGAGAACTCGGGGTCAGGGGCCAGAGAGTGGAAGGAAGGCCACAGTGAGTGTAAGGATCCTGACTCCAGGTCCCATCTGAAGTAGAAAGAGTTGGTCACCAGCAGCTGACGTGCAGAGTATCACCTAATCTCACATATAATCGAAAGCCACCTCCCTTGAGACTTTCAGCCTATCATGATAGAGAGCCTCCTGAGGACACTCCCTTAGCCAGTTGGTGAGTGTGCCTCCCTGACTCAAAAGGGAAAGAGCATAAACACTGGCTGATCTTCCAAGTCCCTGCCCTCCTCTCAGGACCCCAGCTACATCTTCCTCCTTTACTGTCGTCCTGATTAGTAGTCGAAAGATCTGATTCCCTCCCGGAGCGACCTCACATTCCTATATCCAAACAGATCCCCACAAGTCGGGCAAACATCCTTCAATTGTTGCCAGTTTTTTGAACCTCAGTACAAGGATCTTATTTCATCCTGGACATCCTCTAGTTGGAAATCCTCTCGGGGAGGTGTGGGCATTTATAAAGCCATGTTTCCAAAGAAGCATTCCTGGGTGGATCCTAGGCCATTGGACCGAAGCCTTCTTTTCTGCGGAGTTCCTTTTTAGGAAGTCGGCTTTGACCCTTACAGTGATTCTCAGATCCTTTGCTTTGGGATTTAAAAGGGTGTCTGGCCCAGGGACAAGCCTTCCTCGTGTTGGAAACTATCAGCATAGTTGCCTGCAGCTCTCCATCGGCTTCTGGCCGCTTTGGAGCAGGCTGCGAGTCTAAAGCAGTATCTCTGCACTCAGTCAGCTTAGGCTGTTAGCTGAGCTCAAGGAACGGAGAATTTGAAGCGTAGGGACCCAAAAGAAGCTGCGTTGAGACTCACAAAAATCAGATCCACCTGGGTTGTCGTTGGGAAACGTGTGTTTATTGAAGACAATGTCTTAGAAATTGACAAGATGAGGCATAGTGGAGGTTAGCCAGAATCTTGTAAGATAAACAGCAGGCTTGATGTCCTACAGGGTGAGGCTCTGTTCATGATTCTCTAGTCCCAGGCCCTCTCAGGATGCTGATTTGTCCCCCTAATCTGTGCCTGCCAGGTCTGTGCCCCCACAACCAGCTTGAGTAGGAACTATCACTGGGTTGCCTGGTAGCACCAGCTGTGGAGGATCCAGCCGACCTATAAGCCTTGGGTTCGGTGCCTGTCTCTGTCCCTCTCTGAGCTCTCCGACATCTTTTCTTCCTTTTTGGAGACAAGGTCTCATGTATCCCAGGCTGACATTGAACTGACTATATACCAGAGAATGACCTTGAACTTCTGATCCCCGTTTCCACCTCTGGAGGGCTGGGATTACAGGACTGCCACCGTAACTTAATATCTGCTGTATTCTGCACTGGGAATTAACTCAGGGCTTCAGGAACGCTGGGCAAGCACTCTACCAACGGAGAGACAGCCAACTCCTTGCCACCATTTTGAAAGGCTGGGTGCTCTCGGTGGCTGTTAATTTCAAATTAAAGACGGTAAGAAACAGTTGAGAAGTCAGGCTCTGGGCGACTTTGCCTCAGTCAGGCAGCCTTGGTTTGAACATCAGCCCCCTTTACTTCCTGGGTGGCCTTGAATGAGTCTCTTAGCATTTTCTAGTGTCCACGTCTTTTCTGTAAGAATGGGTGAAGAGGAACAAGGAGAGTTACAACAACTGTACTATGTAGGGTTGTTGTTGGGGCTGGGACCTGAGTCAGGTGCTTTCAAGGTTTTGATGTAGTCTTTTAAAAAATGAATTAAACGCACACAAGATTTTTCCTTAAAAATTCACTCAGAGGACAAAGTTTGTATCACTGTGCATGTACCCAAAAACTAGCCTAGCCTGAATGTACTCCCTAGCCTTGTGCCAAGACATAACTGGAGCACAGTTGAATAGGATCTAAGTTTGACAGCTTTTGTGGGGAGGAGAGACTGACTCCATTGTTCAGAGACGGGTGTGTGTGTATCTCCATGCAAGTGGGAGTTCTCTGTTGCTGTCTGTGTGTGTATATGTGCATATGTGTATATATATATATTTATATAATATATGTATATAAAATATATTAAAATAAGTAAATCTTAAAAGGTATTTAAAGAGAACTGGCTGTCTTTGAAGGGTTCGCCAAGATGCTTCAAGCATGTGAGTTTGGCTAAGTAGGAGCCCACTTCTTTCCATGGAGCCTATGTGTCCCCAAGTCTTGCTTGTGGGTCATCATATCGGATCCAATGATTGCTTCGTTCCAGTGATGAATAGCTTCTGATAAATGAAGGCATTTGATATTTTTTTCTAGCTAAATCCTGGTGGTACAATTAAAACCGAAAGGCTTGGTAAAGGCTAACTAGAAGGGATTTTGGGGAGATGGATGGTGACAAACCTCGTAGATGTCATGCTTCATCGGGAGGATGAGAGTATTAACCTTCTGTCATTGCTGCAAACAACTGCCACAAACTAGTGGCTTTAAATAACACAGAGGTGTCACCTCACCACTCTCAAAGCCAAAAGCTCAAAGTGGGTTTCTCTGGGCTCAAACCAAGGCCTCTGCAGAGATGGTCCTTTAAGAGATTCTGATTTCTGGCTTTCTTTCATCTTCAACAATGGAAGCGCAGTGCCCCAGCCTTGTCCCTACTATTTCACCTTCTGTGTCTAAGGCTGCCATGATTACATCAGGTCCCGCGTCTCTTCCCTGCCTCAAGGTCTTAGCTTTGTCACAGCTGTGGAGTCCCTTTGCCATGTAAACTCATATAACCACTGGTCTTGGGTCTGGGATGTGTACTGTATTGGTATTGGTAAGACTAAACTAGGAGAAACTAGAACTTTCTTAAATCCATCTTCTAAGTACATGTTTAGAAAGAATGGACAACCCTTTGAGATATTTCAGTTTGGTAAAAGCTGCATCACTAACAGTCAAAAACAAGTGGTAATATAGATCGTTTGCATCAAACATCCCATAATATTCATGCTTCTACAGAAATCTTTTTTTTTTTAATTTTGAGACAGGGTTTCTCTGTAGCTTTGGTGCCTATCCTGGAACTAGCTTTTGTAGACCAGGCTGGCCTCGAACTCACAAAGATCCACCTGCCTCTGCCTCCTGAGTGCTGGGATTAAAGGCGTGCACTGCCACTGCCCGGCCAGATATCTATTTTTAACTTTGATTAATACATGCTGGATCAATTATACCTGCCATTTTTGTTGAACTCTCTACCACCCAAAGCTTTTACTTGAGACCTGCCTCCAGGAGCAGAGGGAAGTTATGATTCTTTGCAGATAAGCACCTCAAATGGGGGCAGGGAAATGTAACTCAGGGTAGCAATTCCCACATGCCTCCTGCTCTGGAACCTGCTGGGAGTGTCTCTGCCACAGTCCCAGACTCTGGAAGGCCTGAGAACGTAGATCTCTTTGGTTCAGTCACTACAGAAAGCTCAGGAGCATAGCAAGTTAGAGAGGGGCAGATGTGAAGTCAAGAGGCCCTCATCTTCCAGAGGACCCAAAGGGATGGGATTGGGGTGTGGCTGCTTTCTGCTGGAGCTATAGACCCATGCTTTTGGGTCGTATGGAAGCCCCATGAATGCTTTCCCCTCATACACATGAGAGAGGCATCTGAGGAGTTGCCATGAGAGCAAAAGCAGGACATTACGAGTCCTAGGGTCACTCAGAGAGGAAGATGGGGAACTGGAGATAAAGGGTTAATGTTTCGGGCCAGGCTGGTAGATTCATCATTCTGCGGGGAGGATGAGGAAGCCAAGTGCAAGGTCCCAGCAGCACAAATACTCATCGGCTCCCGGCCAGGCTTCCAGAATGGCAAATGGGATCCATCACACGGTGGCTCTGATCCATGCTGACGTCCAGAGGATCTGTTCAGGACAAAAAGGTCCCATCTAAGTTTAAAGAAAGGACCACTATGATCGAGTAGTGATGTCTGTCTTGGCAAAGAGGTCTGTGCACCCCTGCTCTGCTAATAGAGAGGAAAGGAGAGGGAATCTGCAACCAGACAGATGTTTGGGACCCCTGAGAAAAGGTTGTACCTTACCTGGGTTACCTTGAGTGGGTAGGCTGGTGTGGTCTCTGCCTCTTCATCGTTAAATGACGGAAGCTGGAAATGCCCTTTCCAGACCTCTGAGTGAATGAGGATCAAGGACAGGACCTGGTGTCACAAACTGTCCAGCCCTGCATCTGTGGGGCTGAAGCCCGAGTGCACAGAAACAGTCTTTGGCTGGCCAGCGCTGCCTTGGTGATGGGTCCTGACCTGGTGCAGATCCGAGCCTGCGTCATTTCCCCGAGGACCCTGTCTGCTTAGAAAATACCCAACACACTTGTTTGAGCAGGGAAAGGCAGAGGTTTGAAGAAAAATCTCTGGGTTAGAGAAACACATGGAAGGGGCAAGGCAGTAGCAGCCTTGTGCTAGGAGCAGGTGGTTTTGCAAGGTAGGGCTGAGCAAGGAACAGCCGTCCAGGTTGGGGACCAACTACCACGTACACAACACCCCATGCTGTCACAGATGGGCACTGAATCCCCACAGCCCAGCATGAAGTAAGCGGCTCTGATTGCAGGGAAGGGACGTGTGCTCAACCCCAGATTCCCTTTGGCAACATAGCTAACGGGAGAAAAGGAGGAGGTGAAGGAAAGGAGAAAGAAAGACCAGGCAGGGCCTAGAAAAAGCATTTTAAACATTATGAGGATAGAGGTTTGAACCTGTAATTTCAGAACTTGGGAGGCAAAGACAGAAGCAGAGAGGTCTCCACAAGTGGAAGGCCAGTCTGGGCTATGTAGCAAGTTCCAGGCCAGGCAGGACTACCCGTAGCAAGATCCTATCTCAAACAAGCAAACACATCAAAACAACGATGAGAGCCAGAAAAAGGTGTGGTAGGAAGGCGGGAGCTCTGAGATAGTAAAGTGTTCCTTGCACAAGCATAAGGAACCAAGTACAATCCCCAAAACCCAAGCAAGATAGCTGGATATTGTGCCACGGCGTGCAATACCAGCACTGCGGGGGCAGAGATGCCATCTTAGCTACTTGTTGGGTTCCAGCCCAGCAAAAGACCCTGTCTCAAAAGTCGAGGTAATGGGGCCTGGGGTTAAAAACCTGAGGTTGTCTCTGGCCTATACACACACACGCTCACAAGCGCACCCGTGTCCAAACTGTTAGCAGAACCATGACACACTGTGTTTTATTCCGAAGGTCAATGTGTGGACTGGGTCCCCAGCATACACTGTTTTGTTGGCTATTAGCCCCGAGGAGCTTTCTTCACAGCGTCTGGAAGAAAAGGTTCCTGTGCTGGGAGGGCTAGCCTTCGCCACCCGAGGAGCACTTCTTGTTCAGAACAGCCCCCAGTCAAGGCTGACAAACTGGACAGGACTGGCCAAGGCTGGACAGGGCTGGAGGGTGCAGGCTCCAGAGAGGGCGGAGCCTGTTCAAAGGAATGCACAGATGTGAAGATTCCAGAAAAAAAGAGAAGAGGCGGAGAGACAGGGGTCAGAATGGAACAGTCTCCCAGGAACAGAGGCTGGGACGCTTGGGAATGGGAAGAGGAAGAAGGAGGGATGGGGTAGGATTCAGAAGTGAGAGGCTGGGCACACCCCTGACCCCTTCCAGTTTCAGACTTTCTTAGGGGCCTTTGAGCCATGATCAGCAGGGACAGAGAGAGGTTGGGATCCTCAGAGAGGGCCAACATGATCATTGTCAGAACAAAAGGTACTTGCTGGAGAAAGAAAATCTGCCAGACTGGGACTGAGGCACCCCACCTTGTGAACTGGATGACTATACCATTGTGGCCCCCAAGAGTGAGAGACAGCTATTCTGGGACCACTTTGACTGATGGAGGCACCCAGCTTCAAGGCCGAGCCTGGGGTTCTCAACATCTCAGGTGTGATTTGGCCATCACTGCTATTATTTTAAAGCTCAAGCTGGGCGGCTCACTTAATTCTAATTAAGTTCTTATACATACCTATATCACACACACACACACACACACACACACACACACACACACGAATGAATCCCCTTGGTTCTGTTCCTCTGAGAGAATCTTGATTAAAAAAAAAACAACTCCCAACATTAGAAAAGAGAATTTATTTGTGGCTTTAGGAATATTGATTCAGGTGCTGACTGCTGACTTTGGAGGTACACACACTTTAAAAGAAAATAGGGATTACAATGTAGAGACCCAGGTGCAAGAAAGCCCCGAGAACGTCAGGGGAAAGCGGACTTTGAATTTTGAGAGGGAATAACGCTTGCACGGCCAATAGAGGACATAGAAGAGAAGGCAGGAGCAGAACGGACATGCCCACGGATCCAGAGTCCACAAACTCGGGTCTGCACGTCAAGCCTTGGAGCAAAGTGTGTTTATCCAGTGTAGAGTTGGCTCGCAGGTGGAGGGGGCCAGAGCTGGGATTTTGTGAGGCCCATCTTGAGGACAACCTCCCGACAGACTCTACTTCGAAAAGCTCTTCTATGTTCCTGTCATTGCGTTTCTTCCCTTTTCTTTTCACATTCCTGAATGTCAATCATTTACTACATTCCTTTTCCAAATGGTTATTATCATTATAAACACGGTGAGATCCGAGGCCAGTCCCATGAGGGGTGACCGTCCCATGAGGGGCAGCGGCAGGCTACCCCAGGCCTTGGCGTGTCCCTTTGGCAGTTGGGAGACCGAGGTCGGTAGGAGACAAACAGGTATGCCATGCAGACAGAGCTGGAGTATAGAAGTTTATTTAGTAGGTTATGGAGGGGGAAAGAAAGGAGAGAAGGGGACATGGGAAAAGGAGGGGGAGAAGAGAGAGAGGCAGAAGCTGCTTCTCCAGAAGAAGGAGAGAGGGGTTGGGGACTGGAGAGGAGGCAGGAGATCAGCTTGCCTCAGCGGAAGCAGTGAGGTAGGAGTGGGCAGAGCTTGTCTCTTAAAGACAGGGTACCCAGACCAGCAGATTGCAACAGTGGTTACAGTCCGGACGTTTGTCTCCTTGAAATTCCTTTCATGAAGGCCAGACGCTGAGTGAGACAGTCATGGAGAAGGGGCTCTAGAGGCTACTTAGTGTGAGGTGAGGTGAGGACAGTGGGCGCCCAGGCTCAGAACATCCCTCTCCAAAGAAGGGAAGGAAAAACCCCATGCCCACCAAGCACACACACTGAGGGATGCACACACAGAGGGAAGGCTGGGAGAGGACACAAACAGAAAGGGACATCTGCAAGCCAGGGACTGGCACTCGCTAGAGCCCCACCATGCTGGCCTCCTGACCTCACACTTGGAGCCTCCAGAGCTGGGAAGCTAGAATTACTTTTAAGTCACAGGCTCTGTATGTTTTGCTGTGGCAGTCCTGGCAGATTGACATTAGTATGGGCCCCTATATCATCAGGCCTCTGTGAGTGCTGTGGAATGTATGCCAGTGGGTGAGTCATGACACTCGGACTGGCAAACTGCCCCTCTCAGAATGCTGCATAGACTCAGTAGAGGGGGGCGATTCCCAAACACTTCCCTGTTTGGCCCTGGGAAGCCCATCATCCACCCTCAGTGTCTGTTTCCTCTGTACTTTACGAGCCAGACTCAGCTCGGCTCTCCACTCTTTGACAGAAACAGAAAAACTGGCCCACAAGCGGGTGTGTTACTTGCCAAGGGCTGGGGCCTGAGGTGCTGGCTCTGAAGCCCGATCCTTGTACCCAGGTCACTCCTCCCTGTCTTAGTCACTCCTGACTAAGGGTGACAATTCATAGAAGAGACCAAGCAAACACTGCTTCCCTGTGGCTTGTTGTTGTTGTTGTTGTTGTTGTTGCTGTTGTGTTGTTTGCCGCCAGGGTCTCACTATGTAGCTCTTGCTAGCCTGGAACTCACTCTGTAGACCAGGCTGGCCACAAACTCACAGCGATCTGCCTGCCTCTGCCTCTTGAGTGCTAGGATTAAAGGCTTGAGCTGCCTCCTCCAGCTAAACCCACAGCTTTGCTCTAAGAAAACAGGTTGATAGGAATGCTGGTTCATGCTTTAATCTCAGGATTGTGGGAGGATTGCCATGAACTTGAGGCCAGTGTGGGCTCTGCAGTGAGTTCTAAACAAGCCTGGGCTGTGGTGTCAGACCTTATCTCAAAAATTAACCGTGATAAAACCAAAGGAACAAAACTGGACAGAAGGCTGAGTTCTTGCCTCGCCCTACGCCTCCAGCTGAGAGGAGCTGTCATCTCCAGCACATCCACAGGGGACTGGCTCTCAGTCCAGCCGTCAGCCAGCGCCGAGACAGCGAACACATTTCACTCGGGTACAAATGGAAAGCCTCTAATCCCTCTATTTATTTTTCAAGCAACCTTTGCACATTATATATGTATTTCACAATCTTTGACTCTTTCCACACAGAGAAATAAAAGTAATTTATGTAAGTGGACCATTTGTTTAGCCGGGAATATAAAGGAGCGGCCTAAGAGATTTGCTTAAGCCTTGTCCATTTGACAAAAGAGGAACCACCATCTCTCTTAATCCTTGGCCTGTCACTGCACAGACAGAAGCTTCCAGAAGGAAAAGAGGCCAGGGGAAGCCATGTTCATATGTGGGACAATGAGGAGCCCAGGAAATCCCTTTTCTGCTGGCAGCTGAAAGAGGACAGGCCAGTCTCATTAGGAGATACTGGTGCTCAGAGGAAGGGACCCATGCTGAACACCACATCTGAGCTAGGTAGGAAACATCACCCTGATGATACCTCACGGGTGTTAACCACCCATGGAGACCTGTCCCCAAGTCCTGCCAGGCTATGTTGAGAGGACCACGTTTTCTCCCCTTCCCCAATCTCAGAACAATTAGATACCATAGGAAGATGGGCCCACTCACCCCACACTCACTGGGCTATAGAAGAACTAGCAAGAGACAATCTGGCTGAC